CTCATAGCATACCACTCAGCCGGCTGCGTGGTTATGTGGTGACTTTTACCCACTAAACTCAACTTTTTAGGAATTGGCTTAACGATCTGTCTAGAGATCTCTAAACCGTATACGAACGCAACCCTCCTTGGCAGAAAGGAGGGCGCAAGCGGCGAAAAGCCGCTTAGAAGAGTGCCTAACTAAGGCAGATTAAGGGATGTGTTATGTAGGCTCGGCCTGAGCCGCCAGGAGGCAGTTCAGGTCAGCCGAAAGCTTGTTGGGGGGGGGGTCCGAGAGAGAGTTTCTCGGTCTGCGCACACTATAGCGAGTGTGGATAGGGGCTGCATAGGCAGCTGTCTCACGAATGAGATGATTTGGGTGGGACTCTGAAGCTTTGAAAAATCTTTCAGAGAGTGATTTAAGGAACTGCTGGATTGTTGGGAACTCTAAGTCTCGATGTAGGTCGGCATTACGGACATAATAGAGCGAGTTAGTGGCCCTACGACAGAATAGATTTTGAACTATTTGAAGTTCATTTATAGCTTTGGGCTTAGCATGTGCGAAAATGGGGGCCGCGTAGGTCATGACAGGTCGTATGCAGACCTAATATAGGGTTCGCTTGTTGCGGAGGGACATTTTACTGTGTCTGCCCAACATGCTGTTGAGCCTACCCATGTAAAAACGTGCGGTGCGAGTAACCTTCTTGATATGGGGCTCGAAAGTGAGCCTTGCATCAAGAGTGACGCCTAGATATTTGGCTTTAGTTTGCCATGTGACAGGGGTTCCTAACATCCTGATTGGCGGAGTGGTGGTGAGACGACGTCGATTATATTCGAAGCAAACGGCGGAGCTTTTTTCCGGGTTTACGTCGATACGCCATTTTTGGAACCAAGCTCCTAAGTCGCTTACTGACTTTTGGATCATGTTCCGAATCTGTGGTAGTGAGTTGCCTTTAAAGTAAAGGGCTGTGTCACCTACAAAGAGGGCTAGTTTAACACCATTCGACGGGATAGGGATGTCGTTGGTGAATAGTATGTATAGGAGGGGAGCAAGCACAGAGCCTTGAGGGACACCGGCTTTTATTTGACGAGTAGAGGATAGCGTGCCTTCGTGTCTAAAGCGAAAGGTACGATCCTTCAGATAGGAGGCTACAAGGCGAACGAGACGGTCCGGGAGGCCTAAGTCGTACAGTTTGTAGATAAGGCCCTCGTGCCAGACTCTGTCGAATGCCTTGGCAATGTCAAAGAAGACCGCGATGGTTTTTTGACGGCCAGGATAAAAACCGCTGAGGATGTATTCCACTATGCGGTGAACTTGCTGGGGGCACGAGTATTTGGCTCGAAACCCGAATTGTTGTGGGATGACAAGAGGGTCGCCGTCTGTGGGAAACAAATGGCGCCTCAAGCGCACGAGAATAACTCGTTCGAAAAGTTTGCCCATGGCCTTGAGGAGGCTGATGGGACGGTGATTGGAGGGGAGGTGGTGAGGTTTGCCTGGCTTGGGAATGCCAATGACAGTTGCCTCTTTCCAAGAGGTGGGAAAGTAACTGAATTCGAAGCAGGCATTAAAGATAATGGCCAGTAAGGCGATTACCTGCTCCGGGAAGTGTTTGAGGGCTTGGTTGGAGATACCATCCGCACCCGGTGCTTTTTTGGGCTTAAGTCCTTTGATGGTAGATGAAATCTCATCTTTGGACACAGTGATAGGGTCAGAGGCGGTAGGGGGCGAGTTCCTGCGTCGGACCTCGTCCTCCACTAGTTGGATGTGTATGGGGTCAGTGGGTTGTGAGCTAGGAGAGCATTGAGCGGCGACGCTGTCAGCGAAGCACTCAGCCTTTTCTTCGTCCTCGAAGGCAATGGAGCCGCCGGGACGAGACAGAGGGGGAGTATGCGTTATAGCGTCTATCCGGAGGGCTCTCGCCATCCGGTAGTACGCTATGTGGGAGGGAGAGATTTTCTCCATGAGATTGCCCTTTTCGTGGTGTCTGTAATCTTGGAGGCGGTAACGCAGTTTGCGTTGAAGGCGGTGGGCCGCGAGTCTATATTCGGGAATGGGATAGCGTGTAGCTCTGCGGAGGGCAGCTTTTTTGGCTTTTAACAGGTTGCTAATATCTAGAGGAAGACTAGTTTTAGTAACCGGGACAACTTTTTCATTCTCTTTAAGACAGGATGTTATAAGTGAGGTGAGATTTTCGACCGCGGTGTCTATTTTCCCCGTACTGTCGAGGGCGTCGGAAGAAAGGGTTATGGGAGGGTCCGGAGAGTCTATGCTAGACTTCTTGAAGCCCTTCCAGTTGGTGTAGGTTTTGGAAGTGGGAGTTGGAGATGGCTGATGGCCAAGAAGGAGGAATACAGGACGGTGGTCGGATCCTAGATCATCGAGAGACTCGATTGCTCTAAGGTTAAGGGAGACTCCTTTAACTGGAGCAAAATCTAGCACATCAGGAGCATAGTTAACAATGTCGGGATAGTGGGTGGCAGTGAGGGGGGCTGTAGACAGTCAGGTCGAGAGACTGAGTGATATTGAGCAGCACCCTGCCACTACTGGTAGTAGTGCGGCAGGTCCATTCAGTATGCTTGGAGTTAAAGTCTCCAAACATAATGACTGAGTCGCCTAATGCAAGGATGGCTTCGAAATCACTCTTAACGGGGAGGGTTCCGCTAGGGATATAGCAAGAGGCTATAATGATTGACTGGTGTCCAGTCATAGCTAATCTAGTGATAGTGGCTTCCATACTGGTAAGCGACGGAGTAGATATGTAGGAGCAATGAAGGGACTTTTTGTAATAGATGGCAGTACCGCCGCCTTTGCGGTCGGGTCTATCGTTACGTAGAAGTGAGTAATTTTTAATAGTAAGGCCTTTAGAGACCTTGGGGCTGAGATGGGTTTCCTGTAGGAGGAGGAGATCGGCTTCGCGATCTCGAAGAAATAGCCTAAGCTCTGGGAGATTATTTCGCAAACCGCGGATATTGAATGAAACAAGCGACAAACCCTTTGGTTTGATACGACCGTGAGATATTGCGGGAGCAGAGGGCTCCGGCATAGTTATTACAAAGACCTTAGTAGGTTGATGTGCTCAGTAAGAGCAAGGAGACGGTCCTGAGGGGACTGAGCTGTGCGCAGTTTACGCGCAAGGATAAGGATTTCATCTAAATTGATCCTATTGAGAGTGTTATACACTAAATTTAAAGATTCTACTACAGAGTCTGTCTGTTTTTGTGGGTCGGCGGAGGGCCGCGGGATATTTGATTCCTTTTGGAACCAGGGGTTTATTGGAAGCGGCGCAGGCTGAGAGAGCGGAAGGCTCATAAGGGGCCGAGGAGGGCCCTGAGGTGGCCGATAGGGGGCCCCTGTGGGGGCCGGTAGATGCCCTGTGTGGGCTGAGATGAGCCCTGAGGGGGCTGAGGTAGGGGCTGGCCCTGGCTGGGCTTGCGGCTTACAAGAGCCGGGAAGGTTCGGTCATTGACCTGGGGTGGAGCTTTGCGACTCGGAGGTGGGCGAGGAGCGCGAGGGCAACCTCTAAAATTGGCCGGATGGCCTGTTTGTCCGCAAAGGACACATGAGGGTGGGGATTCGGCGTTTTTGGGCCGAGGGCACTCTTTCGAGTGATGGGGTTCTAGGCACTTAATGCACCTGGGTGGAGCTGAGCAGTTGGCTGCCGCGTGCCCATAGAGTTGGCAGCGGTGGCACTGCGCTGGATAGCCGCGCCGGTGTGGGGCTTCGACCTTAACACGCGACAGGCCGCACACAGTGCGTACCTCGCGGAAGATGGCCTTCGCCTCCGGCACATTGGTGAGAACGAGGAGGGCGAGGTTAAACCTTTCGCCCCTGCTGCTGTGCATTTTATGCACAGCTTCTATGGGGAAGCCTTGGGATTTAAGGTCTTCCAGAATGTCCTCGTTTGCGAGTTCAAGGGAACTCCGCGGAATCGACCGGCGTCTGCACATGATGTTTTATAGTATTTTTAAAATAATTATATAAAATAATTGACAAAATAAAACGATCTAAAAATTTTATTGGATATTTAACATTACATGCATTTTGATAAAATAATTAAAATAGATATATTTATAAGCAAATACATGGAAAAAATTACATTGAAGTAGACAGTTTTGGTGATTTTATAATATTATTTTATAATATTAAATCGTTATATTTTCGTAATTGTTTGCTATACACTGACTTATATTCGATTATAATAACGCTTAAAATAAAGTATTTTAGCTTATAATAATGGTTGTATTCAACCTGAAAGATAACTCTGATGCATATTTTCGTAAAACACTGTGAAGGGATTGTCTTCGCCCTAAAAAACCGTCATTAAAAACTATGATTTTGCATTGCTATGTACTAAATAAAGACTTCATCTTTCTAAAGCCCTAATTTTCAGCAAATAATCTCCTCACGTCGTTACGATATCGCCTTTGGAAAAACCATAAAACATGTAGTTTTCGACGCGAAACGCATAGAGAACTAATAACGTATAATGTCGAATAATAGAGACAAAAACATATTTGCATGTGTTCCACTATCATATCAAAATCTGATATCGCTCGGTATCACATTTCGTATGAACGTTGTGTAAACAACTAAACCAACTGTTTTTAATGAATTAAATGTAGTGCAAATGTGGTAGGTAGCGACTGTGTTTTTTCAAGGTTAACATAGTAAGCCCATCTAAGAGTACTGTGGATCGTGTTTCACTTTCAAAGGATAAAATACAGTACTACTATTAAGGGATTTTATTTAATTTTATTTTAATAATATTTAATTAAAGGACGCCCTAGAAAAAAGTTTATCGACCAAATTGGCGATATTTTGAAAATGGGCCACGTTAACATGTATTCGTAAATATATGGATGTAAAGGAGGCGAAAGAGGTATATCAGGATCGTATCAAATGGAAGTCCGTAGTCTCTGCCTACCCCTCTGGGTGACAGGCGTGAGTGTTTATGTTATGTTTATGTTTTTTTTACTACTATTTAGTACTAATATTATAAATATGAAAGAGAATATAATAACCTCGTGATAAAAGAATGTCGTTGTAATTATAATTCAATATTTCAGAATTTTCCAGAAAAAAGTCCGCTACTCTCTCGTTGCCTTGTAGCCAGGATACTGCCCGTAGTTGAGTCTGCGACAAGTAAAATAATCATTATTACATTAAATATTACCTAGAATAGGATGAAATCATTTTAGAAATTTTTTTAGTAAACGATAATAGTTTCAAATTATTGATTTATTTATCAATTACCAGTCTACCCACCACTGCCTCCCCGTGCCTTATACGCTACGCTACGGGGGTACGCTTGCCATACTTACCATCATTGGCAGGCGGGTTAGCGACAGCAACTTTTTAATATATTGAACTGTTGTTAAGATGCTGTTGATTATTAACTATTTTTCATAGAATGCTGGATAAACGAGCACACAGTCCACCTAATGGTAGATGAATGCTGGGGACCATCAGTGCTGCCATCCCTACAGTTTTAACTATAGGTAGATCTTTAGTTTTTTGGAAATTCTGTCAGTTTTTAGTTTAGGCCTCGAAATCTACCGTTTTTTATGTAAGATGCTAGCTTCATCTATTTTATTAAACCGTACTCCGTACACTAAGTCAGCTTCAGTAAAACCTACTACTACCGAATCATCTATTATCGAATTAAACCAGAAAGCTTCTTTGATTGCCACACAGTACCGCTACGGTAGAACACTTGTTTTCGATTATTAATGTTATGAAAACGAAACTAAGAAATAAACTTTTTACGACCACAATAAAAGTCACTTTCACACACAAAGTCGGAAATTAAAAATTGTTTCGAGTTCAATGTGACAAATGACCATTTCAAAAAATTCAATAAAAACATGTACGATTTCAACAAAAGTAAAGATGAAATGGAAAATTAAGAAGACTTACAAGTTGAAAATGAGATAGTAGCTAGTGATACTATGAATCTAGGTTATTTATTATGTGCTACTGTATAGTAGTATACTACTGTATACCATTATACTACTGTATACTAGTATACTACTGTATACTAGTTTTAAACTACCGTAGGAGTTTTAGCGGGAACTTGGCCGTCGACGGATTGTCGATCCTGTTTTATCTCTTAAATAGTGGTTTGAAGTGGATTTTGATTCGTAAAAGTCATGGGATTTTGTAAATTAGGTGTCTGCCCGTGTAAGCTATTAGAGAAATCGACGAAACACGTGCTTCGATGTTGATAAGACCTCAAATTAATTTGGTCACTTGAGTGCCTTATGAATTTCAGTGACTGTCATCGTCAACTTTCCGCCGGGTTGAAAGCTTTGCAATGTGATGCATTGGCATATAGAGTGAAGAAAAAATATATAAAAACCAAGTTAATTCTTATAGAATAAATCATAAGCTATGAATATTACTGAAATTATAAAAATTAAAAAGGGAACTAAAAACGTGCAAATAGTAAAAGATTTTGTGTAATAACATGTAGAGGAGTTTACAGAACACTGGAGGCAAAGTTTTTTTTTTTTTTTGACGTTAGGGCTTAACTTGATAATTTAAATGAGACGCAGTAGTGAGAGGAAAGAATAACAATAAGATTATTTCGACGCAGACGGATTGGGAGCTACTTGGACTTAGTGCGATATTCTGAGACATGGCCATATTTACGAAGTCCAAATATGAAGTGCATACAGATATTTTGTAGCCGCTCAAGTTGGTTCAGAACCCCGCGGTGAAATCAAGGCAATTAATGTCAGCACAGTCGAGAATAGGGAGAGATCCATTTAGGCACTGGAAAAATTGCATCTTTGAGACTTTTGATTTTGACATTTAATTTGATTAACACTTTGATAATTACATGATTTTGATTGTTTCTAACGCCTTCCCTATAGTGTATTCTATTTATTACTATCATTAAATTATAGAAAATATAATATAAGGATAAAGATGTAGATTTACTGTTTTTTAATTTGATATTTACAGTTTTCTACAGTTTTTTTTTCAAGCATATCTACAGCTTTGCTCTATGCTGGGGTTGACAACACTGAGGCCCATACAATCCTCGATTAAGCGTCAAAATGCAGATGCGTTGCCACCCCCGAGGACTTAGGTGGAACGAGTCATTTCCAGTAATAAGGGTCCTCGGTTATCTTCACTCATCATACGAAACAGCAGCAGCAATAAGCTGCTATGTCACGCTGATATACCTTTTTCAGTTTCCCTCTGTCGCCTCATACGACATCCACAAGGTGATATAGGGGAAAGGAACTACGTCATCACTATACGACATCGTGATTGGTTAAAACATAATTTACCTCAGGCGTGGATGGAGCAACAAGGCTCCCTTTATGTCGGCACATCTGCACTTTCACTTGTATTGCATTTAGCAACAAACGATACTCCATTTCATCGAGGAACCCTACAAAAAGTTTCATTACCACATTAGATACCATTTCTATGTTTCTAACCATTTTGAACTATTATAAGCCAGTGTTTAGCTACTATCTCGCCCGATGGTTAGTGGTGATGCAGCCCATTCACTCCTGCCTTGAAGATACCCACATTATAATCGCATGGAAGTACAGATGCTGGCAAAGTATTCCACTCCTTTCCTGTAAGTATTATGAACAACGAAGCAAACCGATTGGTTCCAATGCGTGGTATGTCGACAACAAAGAAGTGAAAACCAACCAAGCTTATGGTGGCCTTAACTCTTTGCAATTCCTGCGTACACTCTCCGAAATGTATCCTGTACCTAAAACAACGAAAGCCTCGAGACTGGAAAGGTTAGTTCTCACTACATTGGTGTCATCAATAAGTGTCTTAGCTCGCCTTTCCATTGGCATTTTACAGCGTCAACCTATATTGGCAGCAATACTGCATGCACGACCGGACTTGCGATTTATATAGTGTAAGCATCTGTCCCAGCCCCAGCGTGAAGTATTAGTGGACCTTGTGCAAGGTCACCAAACAGCTACCTTGGCCTTGGACTCATTGAACCATTTTGAGGGTTTCAGTTCCGTAACCTTATGGAATTTTATCTCTCTAACTAGCTGAGCCCCACAGTTTCACTTGCGTATATCACGCGTCTGAGCCGCGCGACATGTTAACTCGCTTATAAAAGCGTTCGCTGCTGGTTTCTCTCGGCTCATCAGGCGGCTAGGGAGATGCGTCGTTCGGGAGCCGTGCCTAGTGATGAATTATTTTAATTTCTCATTATCTCTTTAACTATTCGTTCAAATAACATGCTATCAAGAGCAAAGTTTATCTTCATAAAATTGTCTTGATGATGAAGTAACTTTCGTTGGTAAGCATTAAGGGGAAATATAATCTCAAATGGCTGAGCAAGATCCTTCGTTATGCCGAAAATATTGCAGCATTAATTTTGAAATAAATATATGGTAAAGTTGAGGATTAATGTTAAGGATTTCGTAAAATTTTCTCAATAGAAAAAAAATCCAAAGTTACCTCCAAAATAAACAATAAACCGCTGTTATTCATAAAATACTTTAAATAAGATCATGAAACTTTGCATACTAACTGAACTAACTATAAAGCAGTGCTTATGTTATTTTTACTTACTTTTACTTTACTTTTTTTAAATACCATTATTTTCACTGTAAAAAGAAATTACCTAAACTATCGGCCTTTTGAAGCGTGATTCCTGCCGCACGGTCACTTCGCTTCGGCCTTTGAACGGGGATACATTACGCAACAGGACGACGTAAAATTAAAATGGGAAATAACCGTAATAAAAATAAGAAGCGACTGGCTTGGCGTTAAGAAACAGGCAACCGTAAATATGATAAACCTAATGAAATAGGTGTCTAACGACCTTTCTACTTACGGTATTAGTGATTACAAACATGTCGGTACATAGCATACGACGCGCGGGCAAGTGGGGACGAAATTAGAATTTGAGCTGACTTACTCTATCCCCTTAATAATGACAAGTTTAATGACCACGCTCATAAATCACTTTTTTGGAATTTTCTATTAAAAAAAAAGTCACGCAATACCTTTTTGTGGCTAATGCATAAGAAATAGGCATAATGGTACCGCAAACTTTTTTTAGATGGAGAATAATAATTAATAGCATCAGTAAGCAATACCCCAGCGCAAGCAGACAAGTTCGGGAGCGCTTTTTCTCCCTACTTACTTAACAAAAATCAATATTTAACGCTAGCTGAGAAGTGAAGCCTAATGCTAGATAGCCTATATACCTACTATTCCTCATGAATATGTATCATAAATTCATGTAAAAAAGATTTGTTTAAATCGGATGGGTATTTCCAGAGATTAATGCGTTTAAACAAACAAAATAACAAAAAAACCGTTCCGCTTTATTATATTAGTATACAGGATTATTTTGCAATAACCGGCCTATTTGCAGAAGGTTCAGAATAAGTAATATAGGAAATGGTGAAGAAAAATCAATTTAAAATATCGCAATAAGTCTGTCCTTTTTATCTTTTAATTTCAAAATGCGTGGTAATGCATTATTTTAACTGATTTTACTGCGCACGCACATATTCGTGAGGGTTGATCGGCAGGCAAACACGTTGTTGCCCATAAATCACATCAATTTGAGATAATTTCAAATAAAAGTAGAAGCGTTATTTACCCGTATTTTCAAAAACTGCAATAACGGTGTATCATTATTTATATATTTGAAGTTAAGTTTAAAAATTGGCTACTCTTTGAAAAATAACCCTGGATAGATAGCGTTGAGTAGGTTAAAGTTATCCACATCAAAACTACGGAAATTCATTATAGTCCAACTACAGCATGACTTTACCATGTATAAAATTATTATATTTGAATTAAATGTAGTTCAAATGCTTCACTGTTATACTCGGTCAGGTTATAATTTATTTGATGGATAATTTTTATGTGACTATTAAAAAAACAGTAATAAGGGTGATAATAATAAATGGTAGGAGCTATAAGGCTCCCCTATATGTCGGCATATCTAAATTTTCTCATGTGTTGCATTTAGCAATAAACGATTTTCCATTTAATCGAGGAACCCTACACCGACGACTACGCTATTGAATTTTCTTGCTTAATTTGTTTATTGTAACATACTCTTGGCCGATAGCAGACGGTGTATAAATTTTATGGAGATACTAGCTTAAATCATAACATATTTATCCATACTTTACCCTCTTCCTTCAACTGCATAGTGTCCAAAATCATTATGTTTAAAGTTGAAGTAGTGGCTTGACGTGTTTTCACGGTTATGGCAGTCCAAGGCCTATCACGTTGTAATAAACCCAGCTGACGAGTCACCGTCAATCTAACCATAATAGAATTTTAATATTGGTAACTCGTATGAAGTCCAGTGATTGGGCGTTGGCAGTTTCACGAGACACGTGTTGTATGAGCCCAGGGCTCCCAGCCTGATATCCCCGAAGTGTCTGGCAAACATTTAGTCATATTACGCGGGCCGTCCCCATATTATTATTATATTCTTAATTAAAATCAATTTAATTTTCAAACATTACGTTTTTATATTAGTTACGGCCCATGTGTCCGAGGACACTTTGCTTAAGAAAACTCGTTGTTTCATTCATCTCTTGGGTTATTATTTGAGATTATAGAAGGAATTGCTCGAACGGGCAAAGAAGAAATTCTCAGTAGAACCAGAGTAAGCGACGTAGCTCAAAGCGTCGGTAGACTGAAGTGGCTGAGACGGCCATATAGCTCAAAGAACCGAAAAACGTTAGGGAAGTAAAGTTTCTCGAGTTCTAGTTTCGTACCGGTAAACGTAGTGTAGGGCCGCGTTCTCCAGATTGAGTGACGATATGATAATAAATGCAGGAAGACACAAGAACAATGAATGCAAGTGACTCAGAACAGTAGTTTGTGACATTCGTGGGAAGCCTATATTCAGCAGTGGATTTTTGAAGGACTTTTGAAAATGAGTGATTTTTGAATGTCATAATAGTAGTGTCTAACCGAAGGTTGATTTCTGGCCGACACCAATACCAAAACCAATTTTAATCGGCTATCGTCAAAACCGAAGCCGTAGGTTTAAAACCCTATTAATAATTAAGGAATAAATTATTAACATAAATAATTTTAAATCTTTTATATTATAGATTTACATTCATTGTGTATAGTAAAACAATCGCCTCGTTGATCTAGTGGTAGTGCGAGTGCTGATCATGAGATCCTGGGTTCGAAGCCCGGGTCGGGTCAAAAAATTATTGAGTTTTTCCGTCAAGAAATTCTCAGTAGCTACCCGGAGTCAGGAAGTTGGCGGTGTCTCACCCCCGTGCCTCGGAAAGTATGTAAATCCGCTGGTCCTGCGGCTGATCTCTCTCCGGCCGTGTCGGTTTACCGTTCCATCGGATTATGAGAGTGAGGGAATAGAGAGTGCACCTGTGCTTGCGTATACACTTGGGCACTATAATCCTGCGCCGACGCCTAGCCTCCGTTACACCTCCTACATTATTATATAGTATAAAAGGTAATTTTAAGCATCTCGAAAAGTTAATATAGAGATGATCAAAATTGCGTCGGCACGTCCATGATGATGCCGCTCAATCTTAGCACTTCGTTCAATTTCAGCGCTTGCTAGAAACCGAGAATGGGTCGAAGTTTTGACCGAAGGTGAGGCCAAAACTACGGTTTCAGCTTCGGCATTGACTTCATTTCACCTGTCAGCTTCCAGTCGACTGTCTAGTTTTTCTTGTATTTGTAAATTGTCTACTAGCTGGGGCAGCAAATTACATACTTCTTGCTCAGCTGTCACAAATCCCTGAAAATATTCGTGTTTACAATTCTTTGTGAATTCGAATTAATATGTTCCATCAAGGTTAGTTACGTTTTTTATAAAATAAGGGTGACAAACGAGCACATAGTCCACCTGATGATAAGTGGATGCTGTGGCCCATAGACATTTACATTTATCCTCGATTAAGAATCAAAACGCAGACGCGTTGTCACCCCTGAGGACTAAGATGGAATGTCTCGTTTCCAGTAACAAAGGGTCTCCTGATCTCTACACTCATTATACGAAATACAGCAATGCTAAGCTGCTGTTTTATGCTGGTATTCTGTGAGAGCGTGGTCCTATCCCAGACGAGCCGACCCATTCGTGGTACAACCACAATATAGCTCCAACGTAGCTCTACCACGTATAAAACTCTACCACGTCAATAAGTTCGTTCATTAATTCATTACAGTCTAAGAAAAATCCACTAAGGTGTCCACCCAATCCAATCCTATAGGTGGGGCCTATATTGAATAGTGGATTTTTCTTCCATTCATTGCTCCATACGGAGTTGTCGCAGTCGGGTTGACAAATGCAATTTTATTTTCACGAGATGTTAATATGTTAGGTTATGAATGAATTATTATTAATCAAAACTATGTGGCATTGTTCATTTGGCCAATGTTCAGCAGGGGACTCATGAAGGGCTGTAATGACGATGAAACTAAACATTATTAATTGTTCACAATAATAAAATAAACTCACTTTCCCTACATCATATCCAAAGGCTAACTGAATGTCAATCATCCTGTCGATATAAGCCATTACCTTAGGAACGGATACCCTGCGAATAAAATGACCACAAATAACCATATAGCTTCAAAATATTATATTTTAAAATCGAATGTATAAAATATCAATATCTGAATATGAACAGATAGCTTTTCTGATTGAATGAATGAATTTCTTCTTAAGCGACAGTAGCCTAATGGCAGGACGCGAACCGCGCACTCAAAAAGGTCGTGGGTTCGAATCCGCCATTTGACTACTGGCGTGAACCACTCGTAACACAAGCAATTTAAGCTTAACACGTTTGGTTAAGGGGAATATTAGTAATGTTTATAGCATTGTTAATATTCTTTTTCAAAAAAAAAAATACATTTTTTGGGATGAATTGCATAACTTAATTCCTCCGTTCCACATTCGGATAACCAGACGGTCGGCCGGTCTCCAACCTTTTATGGTCGCAAAACCACGCATTAGAACCAAATAATTTGTTCGTAGTTCGTCGTGCATACAGCAAAAAAGTGAAATAATTTAGCAGCATATTTTTATCTATCCAATGTAGTCAAAATCAAACAATGTTGGTATACTCAAGGTAAAGATTTATTAAACAAAGTTTGTTTCAAAATGGAATTTTATAGATGGTATAACCCCTGGGACTGAGGCAATCTCTACCAAGTTATTTCTAATTTATTTTGTGTTGGTAATTATATGTAACATATAATCAATATCCGTGTAAACTGTATAAACAAAAAAGTACAAGTACGCATTTATTTCGTACTAGCTGTTCCCCGCGACTTCACACATGTAAAAATTTATGACAATTTGATTTCATGGTTTTTAACTTATTTGTGGGGAACCCTAGTTATTTTTCTAAAATAAAAGTAGCCTAAGTTACTCACAACATCAACTATCAACCAGTAAAAGTCTCGTCGAAATACAGAAGTAGGGTACGTGGCAATTTGCAACACATCATAATTTAAAATAAGTAAAGCATTGAATAAGACGGATCCTAGGGCGGCGGCTAATCTACTCCCACTCTAACCTATTCCACTCTCTTGTCCGGCGTGCAGTTTGGCAAATGGCTCTGGAGGAGAACGCCTGTCGTGATAATCCCAAAGGGAAATTGATCACTCAGACGATCCTCTTTTCTTTTTATTCCACCCCCTTTTTCCTATCTTAACCTAGTCCAAGGTGTCAAGCGTACCGTGCCGATGGATGCAAGGCTGGGAGGAAGATTAGTCACAAACGGTGCTTACCCGAGACCAGAGCAAATCGGGTAGTATTTTAGTCCTTCCCTCGGCATGCGGAGATCTACCAGGGGTACCTTTTATTTTCCTAGCTAATCGAGGGAACAAAATGGACAAAAAATATCGACATTTTATACCAAACTCTCCTCTAATGGAACTCTCTGCAGGTTTTAAAAAGAGTCTTTTGACCTTACCAACAGCCTGTAACACAATACCACAACCTGGGCTGAGCCGTGAAGTTGAGGTCACGTCTGCAGCTGAACCACCATCAGAAATGAACCAAGGAAAGGACAGGAAAAAAATCGCCCGAAAGCCTTACAAGCATAATAGGGCGGCACGGAAGCGGTACAGGAGGCTGATAGCAGCTGAGATGGGAGCCAAAGCGGCCCTCTCTCTCTGCCAGAAGCTCTGTACCGAAATTCTTTTCCCTAAACCTACCCCGGATCCGGAGACGAAAAACGCAGTCGGTCTGATGAGGAGTCTCCCAAAGACCAGTCCTGGAAAGTTGTGAAGCTGGCAACGGGAGAGAAGAAGCTCAGCTTCAGTGCCGTTGCTGTTTCCGCGTGTGTAGGAATTCGCAATTCGAATCCTATGAGCGTGGAGCAGATACGGCTGGTCATCGGGCATTAACACAGGCTGTGGCTTAGACAGCCTGGGGGCGCTGCCAGGAGTGGGACCGAAATTTTCGTGTTTCACCTACAAGCCAGGTTGGATTTTATTAATGTGCTTGAATAAGGCAAGCCAGGACTTGAATGTGGATGAAGTCGAAAAACTTAAATGGCCCTTGCCGGAGACAGAGCTCTCAATAATACCTAAGGGCGAAGTTCCTAAGCTTCAGCTGGAAATTACATATTTGCCCCGCAGCCAAGCCAACTCTCCATAAGAGGCGGCTGTGCTGTTGAGGGCACACAATGAAGGACTCCATACAAAGCTCTGAAAAATCCTGCACTGCAGGGACGAGGAGAATGAGGTTCCTAGTAATCTTTTCTCTGAAAGACCCATCGGCGTAAACGGTCTGAGCGGTAGGCGCAGAGTCGTTCTTGGTTTTAAAATGATAACTTTTAAGATCAGGGTCTGTTTTAACGCGGTAATGGCGACTGAACCACCCCAACTACAGCCATCCACTTCACGAGGTAAACCTGGGACGTTGTCAGTGAGAGTGACCGAGACCTTAGTCGCTCCGCTGGTGTCAGCCAGGGCTAAGGGCCTTCCCTTCATCAGCGATAGAGGGAAAGGTGTGGTGAGAGTCGATAGCGCCAGTAAAGACAGTTTTCGTCCTCAGCAGGCGATAATGACCCCAATTAATGGCTAACTCAAAGGGTAAGACGAGGGTCCTCCAGACAAATCTTCACCATTCAGCAGCTACCTCTGCCATGGTGGAAGTTTGCTTTGCAGAGGACAACATTGACCTTGCCCTCATTTAAGAGCCTTGTGTGGCTAACGGTCAAGTTCTAGGATTGTCAGTTTCTACTAAGATTTTAGTCAATAATACAAGCTGTAGACCCAGAGCTTGTATAATTTACAATAAAACAGCTGTTTAGCTGTTCCAGAGTACTGCAACGACGACCTGGTAACAGCCTTTAAAATTCTTAAGTCTTCTGTAAGCGTAGGAATTTGTGAAGCCTACGAAGGCAGTTGTCCCGTCAAAACCAAGTCCTCAACACGAAAAGTTCCTTGTTGGAACACTAAGCTTAGGAAAAAAACCAGGAAACTCTTCAATACTGCCAAGAAAACTAAAGAGTGGAATATTTATAGTGCGGCCTTAACCGAGTACAACAAAGAGATTAGGGAAGCATCGTCGAAGAAGCCATGCGAGGAAGTTGAGTCTTTGCCACGCAGCGCAAGACTACACAAAATGCTATCGAAAGCTAAACCTATTCAGATCGGTTTTCTTAAAAAGTCTAATGGTAACTTCACTACCACGTGAAACAGAAAGATTGGAGTTAATAGTGTCAACTCATTTTCCAGAGTCACAGAAGACCTCCACCTCGAATTCTTTCAAAGCGCTACGAAGGTTTTCTAATGAGGACTGGTGTAGGGCTGCAAAGATAATAAGGCTAAACCTGGTGCAGTGCGCTTTTGACTCATTTAAATATAAAATGAACGGTAAGGATGGAATAATTCCTATCCAACTACAGACCCTCTGTAGTTGGATAGGAATATATAAAATATTGATATTCTTCTTCCTTATCTGGTGAAAATCTTTAGAGCAAGTTTTGCATGGAGATATGTTCCAGAAGGGTGAACAAATGTCAAAGTTCTATTTTATACATTGAGGAGCAAAAAATAAAAAATTATAATTAACCAATTTACTTACAAAATTAAAACTTAAAACACTAATAATAAAATAATCAAAAATCAAAATCTCAACTCTATCTTATACCTAAGGCTGGTAGAAAGGACTACATTTTACCAAAGTCTATTAGACCTATAAGCCTATTTTCCTTTTTTCTCAAGACATTGGAAAGGGTTATAGATAAATATATAAGGACATAGCTCTAGCTATGAGGCCAATACATTACAACCAGCATGTTTACCGCAGAGGCAAATCTTCGAAAACACGAAGTTTGACAGGGTCGGAAAAGCGCCCGAGGATAAAGAGATAGCTCCTTTTGCCTTTCTAGATATCGAGGGATTGACATCTAAAAATGTTAACACCACGACCACCTGGTGGATTCAGTTGATGCTCTCAAACAGAAAGGCTAAAATCCTGTTTTAATAGGAAAAAGGCAGTTTTTTTATAGGATAGGGTGACAAACGAGCATACTGTGTGCTCGTTTGTCTGCTGTGGCCCATAGACATCTACATCTATCCGCGATTACGAATCAAAATGCAGATGCGTTGCCACCCATCAGAACCAAGATGGCATGCCTCGTTTCCAGTAAAAAGGGTCTCCGGTTCTCTACACTCACCATACGAAACACAGCAGCATTAAGCTACTATTTTACGCTGGTATTCTGTGAGAGCGTGGTCCTTCCCCGTTCGATCCGACCCTACCTAGAGTACTGACTGAGTGTAGAGCGCTGGGGACCTTTTTTACAGATGTCCCAGCGCATTAAGTCCTCAGTACTTATTGTCCTCAGGGGTGAAAACGCATTTTACATTTTCATTCTTAATCGAGGATAGATGTATCTATGGGCCACAGCAGCAGCCCACTTGCAGGGCACTTACCATTAAGACCGATTTACACTTCGACAAGTACAGTAGCGAGTTAACTTGCGAACCTGGCGAGTTAAGTTTGAACCTCGTTTGAACGGCAAAAAGCGAGTAAAGTAGCAAGTTAATGATTAAGTTGAACGGGATAGCCGGCCGAGCTATTTTTCGGTGAGTTAAGTGCGAAGTGCTGCCCTCCCGCGCGTCTCGCGCCACCCGCAACTAAACTCGCCATTCGTGTAAAGTGTAAACGAGCGAGTTTAGTTCTATGCATAAGTTGACAGGACGTAGCGTTTGCGCGCCAAAACGTACAATTGTACTTTTATAATGAAACTGATTTGTACGATACTGTTAATTGAATATTTATACGTTTTATATTGAGTTTTAATAATAAAATGGACGGAAGATATCACGTATACATTCGTACAGAAGTATTTAGAACACGAATGGTTATATAATAGTAAAGTAAAATTAAACCTGCTCGAGATGCTGCACTCATAAAAATTCTTAAAAATTTCTTTAACAACAACCATTAATATTTTTCTGACTGGATCATTTAATTCTTGACGTTATCCTAGAACCATCTTTAACGAAAACCAGAAAAATTCTGTAGTCTTGAAACGTCATACTCCAACGAACTCTATGAACTAACGTCCTTAACTAAACTCGCCACGAAGACATTGTTTGAACGCTACTGCCCACTTAACCGTTTACTGTCAACTGTCCTATAACTTAACTCGCTACTGTACTTATCTAAGTGTAAACCGGTCTTTAGGTGGACTGTTTGCTCTTCACCTATGCTTCTATATTCTATAAAAAAACATGATTGTTTTTTTTTTCAACTTTATGAAGAAGTTTATCGATTCGATGGTATTTTTAACGTTTATGAAGTAGGTAATAATAACTACAAAGTTATTTAGCCGATTTTGTTGTTTTTTATAGACAATGCTACAGTAGTCCCATATAAATTTCAACCAATTTTATTGATAGGTCGGTTTATTTTTCTTAAATAAATTAATTTTAAGAATTATGACTAAATACCTAGCCAGCTTGCACAAACGAAGAAACCGTAAGGTCCGTAGCAACTTGGAAGCGGTAAGTACACTCGAATTAAGATTTCGCCACTTGTCCCATGGTGTCAACGCGTCTATTATATCCAACACCAGATCTACATATCACATATTATGGAAAAAATACCATATAGTATAAATGATAATAACAATTATAAATAATAGTAAATACAAATAAATATGAGACCTCTTACAGTGGTAATAAAAGATTTTAAAGTAGTTTTAATATGTACGATTTTTTCATTCATTCGTACAGTCTATCAAAATATTAACAGCTAAACATAGGCTTTCCACAGGGGTTGCCTCTTAAACGAGATATTTAGCTTTGCCACATTAAGATTAAATGTACAGTTTGTGATCATATCCTAGACGGCCCCAACCATTACATCAGATTTGATAGACCACAAATCCTCGCGAAAGAACACCGATTCCTACCAAGAATGGTACGTGAGGCTATTGAAATTAAAAAACATCCTAATTTCAATAAAGAAGGAGGCTGGGTGCTACCACCTGCTTGGAATCCTATAATCAATAAAATTGAAACTAAACCCAAGCATACCACTATAAGACTTCAAGATATAGTCAGTTCATTTTGCATATATCGGTCCATAAACAATAATTAAAGAAAGCTGAAGGTACTCCGGGTTTAACAATGACATCGGGACGTCAGTCACCTCATTCCCCCGTGACCATGGGTGCTGGAAAGCACCCGAAACGTCGGAAATTAAAAATAATTAAAATTTAAATTAAGCACGATAAAAGTAGAGAGTTCGCGTAAATATAAGAAATCATTATTATTTTGAGTTTTTATCAGGAAGTTTCTACTGCTCCTGTGCTGTTTCATTCACTCTTCATTCACGGAATGATATGGAGTAGAGAATTCTCTTACGCTGCCGCTGAACATAGAATTTATAAATTATTATCAATCGCCAGTTGTGTGGTGTTAATTTAGCGTTTTTAGATTGAATTGCGTCATCATTCGATAGTCAAAACCTCACCAGGCAGTAACCTCACGTGTACGTTTTATAGACCTCTTCCTCAGTCACCTCTAACGTCAATCATTAAGTTCTCTACAGTTATATTAAAGTTTATTAAAATCAAGCTTTTCTTACCTCCAGTAGCCATTACGATAATCACAAAATCCAACTTATTCCAATGCGACTTAAAGTAACCGCGTGTACCCAATCCCATCATTTTAATTACCATTTCCAGGACGTATACTATATAAAAAAATCTGTAAAATATAATACTTAAAGTGACCTATGAGATTTCAAACTTTTAGATTCATTACATTAAATTAAAATTCATTTTTACTACTACTTTCAGCACACAGTTATTCATAGGCCTCCCCATAGATTTCCTCCAAGAACGGTCCTGAACCACCTGCATCCATCGAAAGACAATTTCTCTAGTCGTCCCTCAATCCAGTGGAGAGGTCGCCCAACGCAGCACTTGCAGAGCTTTTACCATTCGGGAACCTTTCCTTGCCATTGAGTGTCGGTTTTTAAGCTAAATACCCGGCCCATTGCCACTTCAGTTTACTACTGTTCCGCTATGGATTGCAGGGCTATGTCCGTTAGAATGCTTTTAACCGTGTAGCGGTGAAAGAATATTCACTACCCCATATCATCCCGTGGTCGTCGATAAACTGAGCCAGGAGATTCCTGATAACAGCCAAATAAAAATAAAAAACTGCAGGTTCCGACATAGAATACTATAGTACATACATAATAGAACAGGGGAGTGAGCGGAGTCCGTGTAGCCACTAAAACGTCAATTCACGTGTATAAATGTCAACACGAAGTGTGTTTTGACGTTACAATCGATTCCAAATTTCGCATGCAAATTATTTAGAAAATGCCAAATAGCACGCTATTTACAAATAAATATGTATTAAAATCCATCTGTCAAGACAGCGGATCGGGTTTGTAGTAGTGATTAACTGATAATACGACGTAATTGCTTTTATGTGTGCTCCCAGCGAAGCAATTCCTCGTACAAAATAAGGTTGACAGCCATTCTATTGTGTATTATAGTATTCTACGGTTTCCAACCCCAATGCAAACATGCAATGCAATTATACCATATATCTCCTCTTCTATATTATGATAGCTAAAATTTTTTTACTATATTTAAATTATTAGAAATTATAAGTGTATGTATTAAATTCAAAATCTACTTACAAATTCAAGACCTTGATAACATATACAGCATTGCCAGTGGGTGATCTTAAAGCAATTTCGCACAATATAACAGGCGTGTTACACAGTATCATGATATATATAAATCCGTCGAACCACACGTTTGAAACCGTTCTGTAAGCCAACTGTCTCCAGTAATTGCGAGGCATTTGGACGGTAGCAGCTTCTGGAGTCATCATTTTGACTAACTTTCGACGAAGCCACACTGCGTATGCCTTTAAAGATGAAACGTAATTATTTTTAAGCATACATTGTATAAAGACATATCGATGGTGTTATGTCTTTCTTAATGTAGAGGTGTTGGGATTGATAATAGTGATGCTGAGATTAGTAGTGACGGGGAAAGTGCACGCAATTAAAGGAGAACGAGAGGTGATCTTTCAAACAAGGAAAGACACGTAATTTTTTTTACACGTATCTTAGCTCGTTAACTTTTAAATTCTTTTACATAATGTGCTCGTATTTCCTAATTATCATTATACTCAATATTATTTCAAACATAAAGCAAAACTTCATCATTCATTATTACTGCCGTTGCCCTTTTTACTCCAATACAGAACATAGACCTAACCCAGGAATGACACAAAGCGCGATCGTCGTCACTTCATCTAGTGGAGGGACGCCCTACACTTCGTCTGCCGGTACGAGGCTGCCACTCGAGAACCTTTCTTCGCCATCGGTCCTTCAACTTACAAATCCGTTGGTATATGTCGGTTACTCTGATTCCACTCGGACATCCTCGTTTTTAAGTCTACCACACAGAGAAACCCCGAGCATAGCCCTCTCCATAGCTCGCTGAGCGACTTTGAGCTTCCTCATACGACCAGCAGTGAAGAACCACGTTTCAGATCCGTGGGTTATCACTGGCAACACGCACTGGTTGTATACTCTATATGTATATCAATGTTTTGAGGAACGCCTGACGAGAAGATCTGTCGTAATCTCCCGAACGCTGCCCATCCGAGTTGAATCCGTCGATTGATCTCTCGGTCGAAGTTGAACTTACCTAGTCGGACTACTTGTCCCAGGTAAACATACTCGTCAACAACTTCGAGCTTAGTGCTCCCAACAACTACCAGCATAAGTGTGACATGGACGTTTCACACGACATTTGTTTTGACCATATTTATCCTAAGACCTATCCGTTAGCAAACACTATTGAGGTCATTGATCGTAGTACCTTGGTTCTCCAGCGATTCTGCTATAAGGACTATATCGTCGGCAAATCGAAGGTGAGTGATGTTCTCCCCATTGACGTTAATACCGTATTCTTTCCAGTCCAGTAGCTTGAAAACGTCTTCCAATGCAGAGGTGAATAGTTTCGGGGATATTACGTCACCCTGTCTTACACCTCTCTGCGGTTGGATAGGTTTCGTACTTCGGTTCTATACTCGGATAGTCATCATAGCCCCACTGCACAAACACTTTAGCACTTCGATATATACACAGTCAATTTAGCACAGCTGAAGGGACTGCAGCACCGCCCCAATTTCGACGGAATCGAAAGCTTTCTCATAGTACGCAATACGAAGTGGCAGATTGTACTCTTCGGTCTTCTGTATAATTTGCAGAAGGGTATGTATGTGGTCTATAGTGCCTTTACGGAAACCTGACTGGAAGTCATGGAGTGTGCGTGCGAAACGGTTCGTAATGACTCTCGAAAACAGCACGTAGACGCGGCTCAAAGGGGAAATCGGTACGTAGTTCTTCAAGAGAGCGTTGTCACTTTTCTTGAAGAACAAGACTATCGCACTTCTGATCCACGCCTACGGAGTATTGCCACCATGAAGGACGGAATTAAAGAGCTTCTGAAGGACTTTAAGTACCGGTTTTCCATCCTCGCCCGGGGACTTGCCGTTTTTAAGGTGCTGGTGAGCCATCCTAATTTCTTTCAGACTGACATCCGGGATATCATCGCAATGGTGTCGGGTAAGACTTGCTCTTGGAACGTTACTCACACTTGCATGTGGCTTCAACGATGACGTGTACAGCTGCACATAGAACCTCTCAATCTCAATCTCAATGTCAGGAAAATCTCAGGTGTCCCGGAAACGATGCTGCCACATTCGGTCTTTAGCTTCGACAGTTGACTTTTTCTGGCAGGCAGATCTCTGGCAGACTTTGGCGCCCTGGTACCCCTCGATCGCTTCTTCAATAAAAACCGAGCTGTATTGAAACAGCGTAAGTCCTGCCGCATGCATTTGGAGATCTGTCTGTTCAGTTGCCTGTTTGTCTGACCGCATGGACAGTTTCCACAAGCTTGTCATTCATATCGTCTACTTCGTAGCACTGAAAACGATATTGTAACTCCAGCTGAAAGGTTTTGGGACTTTGAATTAGAGCACGAGGGGGACGGAGCGTTGATTTCATTAGACGTGACCTCTTCAACTTAACGTTTAGGTTCAGCGTGTCTCTCACCATTTGCTGTTAGTTTTTACCCTAACGATCACGAAGACATCACTGAACACTTGTCCTCTGGTCGTCATAATGAAGTCAATCTCATTTTTTGTCTAACTGTCGGGGCTCGACCAGGTATACTTTCTGTGGGGCCGCTTCTGGAAGAAAGAGTTCATCATAAAGAGTTTCTCTTTCTCCATAAAGTCGGCCACCTGCTGGCCCCTTGGGTTCCGTTGTCCTATCCCAAAATTTCCCTACTTTCAGCTCACCATTAACACCGTATAGTTTGTTTTGGAGGAATGCATGGGTCTAGAGATATCCTCATACATTTCCTCCACCTACTCATCGAGATGTGCCGAGGTTGGTGCGTAAACCTGTATGACCTTTAGCGAATACCAACTGGTGCTTCTGAGTATAAGGTACACAACCCTCGTCGACAAAAAAATAAACATAACAGCACATACACCCACAGCTCAAAGGTCAAAGCGAAGATTGCGGAGCAGGACATAAGTTAGCCACTTTACATTTCCTCAAAATATTTTCATTTCTTATACATTCAGTTTACCACAGAATTTTTCTAACAATATCGAACACAGTAAATCCGTAGGACTTAAAATTATACAGGTAATTAACAATTCCAGTGGTGTCGGCGTGGGTCAAACCAGGATTGCTCACCTACTATAAAAATATAAGCAAATTCCTAGTCCAGTCACCTTGCGCTATGACAACCCAAATTTTTTTATTATGTTACATGTTCAAAACATACTAGCTGGGTCAGCCGGGTGGCAAATGTTGTTCTCTCGTTTCCTATTGGTGGCGTTATGAGTATATTAATAGCTCGACCACAGTGTTACCTATCGTGTCTAGATTTAGGGATTTCTTATTTGGCACTAAAGTACTAAACTTCTCAGTAAACTTACATAATATTTTAATGTCAATATGACTCATTTGGTCCTAAATATAGAATGTGATAATATGACTACAGTGCTACCTATCAGATTTAAACAATCATCTACCAGATTCATTCAATTGGCAAGTAAGTCAAAATTCACTTAAAATTAACAATTTCAACCCAAGTAGCGTGCAAGCTGTATACAAGCTGTATTGAAGTTCGTTTTTATACTGGAGGCTGTATTTTCTGGCTGTATAAGCGCTTATACAGTTCTTCTGAGTAAACAATTGGCACAAATTATACAGCCTTATGCGTTAGTAGTGCTGTACTTTAGATGTACAAGCATAAAAGAGTCTGTATAACAGTTACATTACAGCTGTTATTTGGTAGCTCAGATTTATCGCTCGCCATAAATATAACAGAACGCGAGTAACCCGGGTTCGATCACCGCCGGCACCAATGACATTGTTAATTGCAATTTTAATTGCTGATGTACCACGTGCTTGACGATGAAGGAAAACATCGTGAGGAAACCTTCATTTCTGAGGAATAAGAAAACTTGCCCTAAAACCCTCTCAGAAATGAGGGGAGGCCTGTGCCCAGCCGTGGGACGTATAATATAGGCCAGAGACTTTACGTTTTTACTTTTGTTATTTGGTGTGCAAGGAAACTATTACACTATGGATATTGTCTTACAAGTAACTTTTAAAGATAAGCATTCTAAATTGAATTTTGAACGGATTATTAACGGTAGTGGTCGCTCGCTACTTTAGTGGGGCGCGGTTGCATCAGGGAATTGTTTGAATAGCAGCTGTTTTGGCACGCCGCTCACTTCGGCGTAACACGTGTCGTGTTATCGTAGATGGGGTGGCTTTCCTAGTGAAGTGGTGTATTATATATATTATTATCACTGCGTTGATAGCGATACGTTTTGCCAGCAACGCAAATTTCAACAGTTCGTTGCGGTGAAAATTTTAGAGCACCTAATTTTTTAACTTGACACCTAAAAAGCCCCTAATTTTGGCTTTTTCTAAATGCAAATTCCTGACTTTGCGTTGCTGGCGATACACAACTCTTGTGTGCTGCTTATACATAAATAAATGAATGATTGATGAATGATTTCATTTATTTATATTCATTACAAATAAAATTATTTACCTTTGGCTTCCATAGAGTTCCCAATTGCTCCAAATTGATTCTACCATCATCCGAATCCGCAGCGACCTCTACTGCTTGGACAAGGGTCCGAACTCCATCTTTGCTAATTTTTCCATGCTCATATTGTCGCCAGTATGATATCTTCATAGCTTTCAAAACTCTTTGATTTGCCTCCCTACAAAATGTACCATCTTTTTGGAGACTGCCGCACACATAAATATGCTAGGTATATGAAAAGAATCAAGTGCGGTTTCGTCAATGAGTAGTTAGTACCAGTTCTGGCTCACTGAGTCAGAAGTGGTACAAGCACAACGTTCATCGACTCACGATCCTTAAAAAAAGGTTTTGGCATGCTCTGATCACGAATCTGCGGTCCATTTTTGCGTAGGATGCACGGTTCCGGAGATGTGCAGATCAATTAACTCTTATCTAATTGATATTCGGTGAGGGCCTCCACCGTCATTAGCGCTCCATTGTTCTTATCTATTTATCTATTGTTCATTGGATACCGTCATTATCTATTCTTCCTCAGCGTGGTGCTATTGTATTATACTCCTTTGTTCCTATCTACACTAATCTGAATCATCAATAAAACACATTACCTAATTTTTGTTAAAATTTTTATTTACAAAATACAAAATCTTATTACTTATTATCTATAAAATAGGAGCGAAACATCTCATCCACTAAAATATCGTTGTACAATGTGTTCCCTGTAAATATACTCGTAAAACTATGCATTGAACATCCCTGAAACTTATATAACAAATACATTAAACAATATTCGCCACAAACTGAAGTCCACTCATTCTGAATCCTATCAACATTCCAGTTCCATCTTTTACAATTCCTTTTTAAAAACTCTAGATGATATTGAAGCGGTACGCGTCCGGAAAAAATATCGGGAAATTCTTTTTTCGGATGAAAAATTTTTTACCGTAGAAGAGAGCTACAACAAACAAAATGATAAGGTGTACGCACACAGTAGTGAAGAAGCGAGCAACCGTATTCCGCGTATCCAACGAGGTCATTTTCCATCCTCGCTCATGGTATGGTTGGGAGTTTCTTATTGGGGCTTAACAGAGGTACATTTTTGTGAGAAAGGTGTAAAAACGAATGCAGTTGTATATCAAAATACAGTTTTGACGAACTTTGTGTAACCTGTTTCTCATACCATGTTCAATAACAGGCACTGGGTATTCCAACAAGATTCGGCGTCAGCTCATAGAGCGAAGAGCACACAAGACTGGCTGGCGGCGCGTGAAATCGACTTCGTCTGGCACGAAGACTGGCCCTCCTCCAGTCCAGATTTGAATCTGTTAGATTACAAGATATGGCAACACTTGGAGGAAAAGGCGTGCTCAAAGCCTCATCCCAATTTGGAGTCACTCAAGACATCCTTGATTAAGGCAGCTGCCGATATTGACATGGACCTCGTTCGTGCTGCGATAGACGACTGGCCACGCAGATTGAAGGCCTGTATTCAAAATCACGGAAGTCATTTTGAATACACTATAGTGTCATAAGAATCTATGTTTTGTTAAGTTCATTTTGGTATATAAATGGTTACATAATGAATAAACTTGTTTCAATTATTTTATATTAAACATGTGATAAAATTTATGACCTGGCTAGGTAATATGCAATTTGGGTACAAATCATAAACCAGGGTCACATTGGGTAGCTTTATATATCGATACGAATGACGTCGGTCAATATTTTGATTCATACGGACGAGCACCTGTACGATATTATCTAGAGTTTTTAAAAAGGAATTGTAAAAGATGGAACTGGAATGTTGATAGGATTCAGAATGAGTGGACTTCAGTTTGTGGTGAATATTGCTTAATGTATTTGCTATATAAGTTTCAGGGATGTTCAATGCATAGTTTTACGAGTATATTTACAGGGAACACATTGTACAACGATATTTTAGTGGATGAGATGTTTCGCTCCTATTTTATAGATAATAAGTAATAAGATTTTGTATTTCGTAAATAAAAATTGTAACAAAATTAGGTAATGTATTTTATTGATGATTCAGATTAGCGTTGCAGTTAGGAACAAAGGAATATAATACAATACCACTGATAATCCGACGCACGAATAGACAATGACGGTGTTCAACAATGGGACGCTAATGACGGTAGAGGCCCTCACCGGATATCAATTAGATAAGAGTTAATTGATCTTCACATCTCCGGAACCGTGCATCCTACGCAAAAATGGACCGCAGATTCGTGATCAAAGCATGCCAAAACTTTTTTTTAAGGATCGTGAGTCTCGACGAACGTTGTACCACTTCTGAATCAGTGAGCCAGAACTGGTACTAACTAACTACTTCAATGTCAATTTCTATTTCTTTATTTTCTTTTTTATAACAACCCATAAGTCTACTGTTGGGTCTCTCCCATTGCAAGGTTTTACTTTAATCGCCACACTTTGCAGGCGGATTGGCAATCGCAGATTTAGACTTCTCGCACCTTTGACGTTGTTCCCAGTCGCCGGTCTAGGTATTTCACGTATGGCGTAAACAAGATGGTTATACCGTCATCTATCGAAAGCCATCATACCTTTCTGGCATATCACAGCTACTCACGGTACAAAATGGGGTGATGGATTACCCTACACCACTACCACCACATGGTAAATTTATTTTTTATAAGTCACTATATTATGAATAGGGTTGTCACGATACATAACTGTGCCGATACGATACCGATACCGATTAATAAAGTAAATCATCGGCGATACCGATACCTTTATCGGTGACTGAGTAGAAAGAGTGAGCGAAAAAAAAACAAAAATAATGAATCATTATTTTCTTTATTATGCATATTTACATTAATTAACTAAAATAATTTACCTAAATTTATTAGAGACTGAACCTTTAGAGGGTTGAAAACAAAAATTCAAAATTCAAAGAAAACATTTATTTATTAATATGTTTGTTTAAAATATTAGTAGATATTCTGTTACGCAAATCATTTTGAAAGAGACTGTCGCGAAGAATGTCGCGCGCACGTTGTTCGTTTCGCACGCTCTTCAAACTGTTGATATCGGTTGTATATAATCGCGTTGTCGATATATCGGTCTACCGATTATATCGGCCGATATATCGGTATCGGTATCGGAATCGTTACATCACTAATTATGAACGATTAAATTTACTACATTATACACGTATGTTGTTTTACTGCCTTGTTGGTGTAGTGGTCGCAAGCATGTTTGCTGATCATGGCGAGGTTCAAATTCCGGGGTCGGACCACACAATAAATTAATGGATTCTTCTGGCAAGAAATTCTCAGTAGCAGCCCGGAGTCAGGAAGCCGGCGGTGTTTCACCCCGCGTCTCGGAAAGCAAGTTCAGCCATTGGTCCCGCGTCTGATCTCTCCAGTCAAGTCGATTTGCCGTACCATTGCACTAAGAAAGTAAGAGAATAGAAAGTGCACCTGTGCTCTTTCTCAACCAGACAGACTCCTGTACAATAAGCGACCTCTTTTTTCTTTTTATAAAATTAAAATAACAAAAGAACTAACAGATACTTGATGGTAAGTGGTAACTGCAGCATATACACATCAGCAACCAATTTTGAAACAGAAACAGAAACCTTTTTATTCAATATCGAATATAAATATACTTATTGAAAGTCATCCTTTTGTTTAATTACCACTGGTTCGGAAACACCTCTGTCCTGGAAAGAACCAGCAAGAAACCCAGCGGGACTTTTAAAAAAAACAGCTTACAATCATGTATGTTTCAAAATTAATCAACACAAAACAAATTAAAAATAGCTTAGTAGCGATCACCACATTTCCAGGGGTTATTATCATCAATAAATTCCTTAATATTATAATTAAATCATTTTATACAAACTTATTTGAGCAGGTCAATATTTTTTTTGTAGTATAAGAGTGACAAACGAGCACACAGTCCACATTTATCTTCAATTATAAATCAATAAGCAGATGCGTTACCAGCCCTGAGGACTGAGATGGAACGCCTCGTTTCCAGTACAAAGGGTCTCCGGTTCTCTACACTCACCATACGAAACACAGCATCATTAAGCTGTTATTTTACGCTGGTATTCTGTGAGAGGTTGGTCCTACCCCGGTCGAGCCGACCCATTTATGCTACAACCGCAATATAGCTGCAGCATGGCTCTACCACGTAAAATATTGTATACCACTATTACTTACTGCTATTTACTTTAAACAAAGCAGGCTACTGAGCTGCCTTCTAATAGCTGAAATAATTTAATTTCACACCGATATATTCTTACTCTGTGAGTTAAGTATTCGAAACTTTATAACGTGGTATAGCCACGCTGCAGCTATATTATGCTTATATTAATGAAGGACTAAGCTCTCACAAAATACCAGCGTAAAATAGCAGCATAATGCTGCTGTCTTTCGTATGGTGAGTGTAGAGAACCGCGACCTTTTTTACTGGAAAGAGGCATGCCACCTCAGTCCTTAAGGGTGTCAACGTATCTGCATTTTGATTCTTTAATCGAGGATAAAAAATGTAGATGTCTATGTGTCACAGCATCCACTTACCGGCGGGCGGACTGTGTGCTCGTTTATCACCCTTTTTCTATAAAAAAAATTGTTTACCTCATCATCTCTGCAAATTCCTTCTTAGTTGGTTCATTGGGTATTTCTCTCTCACAGTCCGGGCAAGTGGTATAGTGGTAGCCCATATAAGTATCATCCTCTGAGTCGTCGTCACGTTTGGACATTTGTATTTGATACGGATGCTTTATTGTAGTACCTTGGAAAACGTTATTTGCTCTTACATTCTATATACTTCTACTTCTATTTCACCGGTCCATAAAAGTCGAGAGGATACGCTTGGCAAGCGATAAAAATCGCAGGAAGACATTTCACACTTTTTATGCTACTTCCCGTCACCGGTTTGTCTCTCTTAGCAGTAGACTTAAAATTACTGGTGATATGCTGATAAAATGAGTCTCAATATCATTAGATATCCTTAAATACCAATTTTTTAAAAGTTTCCCCCACACTGATTGTGGTGATGTTCTCCCGTATCGTAGAGGCAGTAGTACATAAATTGTACAAGGAGAAACATAGAGACATTTTTTAATAAATTATAAGACTTAGTCATTATAATATGAAATAATTAAAGTAAGAATAGAAAATGTCATCAATTAAAATCAGCAGATAAGTAACAGATCATGTTCAACAGATCGTTCAGTAGATCATGTCACTAAAATAATGTCATCATTAAAATCAGCAGATAAGTAACAATCAGTTGAACAGATCTTCAGTAGATGATGTCAACGTAAAGTAAGAACAGAAAATTTCATCAATTAAAATCAGCAGATAAGTAACAGATCATGTTCAACAGATCGTTCAGTAGATCATGTCAACGTAAAGTAAGAACAGATAATATCATCAATTAAAATCAGCAGATAAGTAACAGATCATGTTCAACAGATCGTTCAGTAGATCATACATTTTACGTTTAGGTTGAAACGTAAAATGCAAAAATACCTACCTACAGTGGAGCCTAACTGGCCCATAGGCTAGATTAGTCATAAGAGGGCACTGTCCTAGAGGGCGTAACTAAAGGTTTAAGCCTTTGCGACTCGATGTACAGTCCTTGCTCATTTTAATTTTAATTAACGAAAGACTGTACCACCTTTTTATGCGATAATTACCCATGTAATATTAGCCAAGCGGTGACTGCCATCCTAAGTCAGACCTGCCTGTCTAAAGTACTGATGATATTGCGTTTGGTCAATTATAAATATTTAAGTCCAAAATGTGCTATGAATCAATGAGATATTTCGTTTATTCTTAATTCATTACAGCTCTTCACAAGTCCACAGCTGAACCACCTGCATCCATCGACTACCTCCATCTGTTACTAGGTCGTCACTCCATCTAGTGGGAGGCCGCCCTATTTATGTAAGCTATTTAAATTTGCATAATTATAGTTATTACACAAAGTTTAAGCATTGTTCAAAAATTTTGATAACATACAAACATACTAAATTTACACCTTGTTGCACGAGATCCCAATTAGCGTCAGCCAAGAACTTGTCCATCTTTAGCATTGAAATACACCGGTCTCGGGTCATCATGATACGTTTAACACAGTTCGTCATGTTAGCCTTCTTAGCTAGCGATATCTCGGCTAGTCCCAAAATCTTCAGAACTTTTCCCATTGTGGTTGCGTTAATAAGCAGCGACAAAAGTACTAGGCCAGCAGTCTGGATGATAAATACCTAAAAAGGTGTCATATTTTTCAAAATCAAATTTATGTTAACATCTATGGATTCTTTAAATGTCTGGATAAGAACATCCAAAACCCTATATAGACCCGCGGGTGTCGTAAAAAACGACAAAGATAACCAATTCAGGAGATGAGCAGCAGCGTCTGCATAAAATAACCACTGAAATAAAAAAACTGCGGTTACCAACCCGCTTGCCAAGCGTAGCAACTATAGCAAATATCCAGCCTTTGAGGCAATCCATGGAGGAGGCCTATGTTCAACAGCGGACTGTTGATAGGCTGGAACGGTAACGGCTGTGTTAGCTCTAATGACAAACTAAGGACTAAGGACAAACTAAGTTTGATTCCTTTCTATATCAATTAAATTAGGAATCCTTTTTTTATAGGATAGGGTCACAAACGGGCACACAGTCCACCTGATGGTAAGTGATTGCTGTGGCCCATGGACATCTACATCTATCCTCGATTACGAAACAAAATGCAGATGCGTTGTCACCCGTGAGGACTAAGATGGAATGCCTCGTTTCCATTGAAAAGGGTATCCGCTTCTCTACACTCACCATACGAAACACAGCAGCATTAAGCTACTATTTTACGCCGGTGTTCTGTGAGAGCGTGGTCCTTCCCCGGTCGAGCCGACCCATTCGTGCTACAACTATACTACTAATATAACTGCAGTATAACTCTACCACGTACGAATTAAGTACTAATTTAAAATTTTAAGTACTAATTTAAAATGTGCTAGCCGGTGAAGGAAAACATCTCACATGATAAAGAACTGTAGCTGTGTTATGTCTACAGAACAAATGGTCCATCTTGACCGGGGAAGAGCCTCATCGATTTCCAGAGTAATGAGTTTCATATGATGAGTGTAAAGAATCGAAGACCCTGGTTACTAGTACCGACGAGCCGACGACCGAGTGAAAACGCATCTGCATTTTTAATTTTAACCGAGGATAGATGCAGGTATCTATGGGCCATAGGGTTCACTCACTATCAAGTTGAATTTTGTGCTCGATTGTCACCACAGTTATAGAAAATAAGCATTGTTTAAAAAAATAAAATTTTCAAATGGCTATGTGCAGAATCAACACTTACGGCTTCAAACAGCAATGTATCTAATCTGAAGTCGTTCCAGAAACGCTTTAAAAATAAGGGAATACAACAGTGGGACGTACCTAGGTACCTCATAGGTACGTCCATGCACATAATTAAAATTTAAAAACAAGTTTTTAGATGACTTCAAGGAGGTTTTCAATTACACAGTATGTCGTTTTTTTCGTTTGTTAACTGATAACCTGTTGTGTATTAATTATATCAGAAAAAAACGACATTCAGGTTGTTACCTTGAGCTTGTGATATTCCGAAGTTCACTCAAAAGGGTCAAAATATATTTTTTAATAAAAGTACTTGCACTGACATCTATGTGAAATTTATATTCATAATAAAAACTTCAAAGCGAAATTGTCACAGCTATAGCTTTTCGAAAACTTACCTCACCCGCATCTGCCACTCCTGGAGTTTGTAGTACATGTAATGCCAAACACAGCGATAGGGGTCCTCTTAACCCTCCCCATACACAAGCCATGGAGTGTTGCCACGATATTCCATAACCTATATGCCTTAGTATTGGCGTCATCGCCGAATAAACCATGAGCCTCGAACAATAGACCGTGCAATACGTCACGAAGATCAGTGAAACCTGACGGACGCTAATTACGTCAATGACCTTCGCAAAGATAACCACTCCCACCATAGTAAACACTAAAGTATTGGCTGCATGTGATAATATGCCCCAGAAATGTGACACAACTTGCTCAACTTCCCCTGCTAATGTGGATTTTCTCTTACTTACAATCACACCAGCTATGACTGTCCCCAACAATCCAGAAACGTAAAAGAACTTCTCTCCAATGTAATATGTCAAATAAGCCGCAGCTAGAGTAACAGTGACTGCACATAGAAGATCGTTATATGTTATCGATAGTAAAGCAGCAGTTATTCTACCCATAATTACTCCCAAGATAATTCCACCTCCGGCAAACCGCAGTAGAAGAAGAGATATTTGAGATGCTTCGGTTATCGCCATAGCTAAATATCCAAACACTGCAGTAAACTCTATCATCACAGTTACATCACCTATCAACCCTTCTCCTAACAGCAATACACTTATATACTTTCCTTTAGACATATCCTTTAATTGTTTTACCACCTCCGTAGGATAAATTGGAGCACAGACCACTCCAAATAGAACAGCAGTTGGAAAATTCCATGATGATTCTATCAAATAATATGCCATGAAAGCCAACATTAAAGATGTTAACAGTGTGCCGGGTACACCTACAAGTAAAATTTGTGGGAAACTTTTCCAAAAAGAGTGAGAATCGGCGGCATAAGAAGTGCTGAACACAAGCACTGGGAGAAAAACTAACAAAATAACGTCTATTTCGATGTAGCAAATCTCCACAACTGGTTTGAAGGTTGGGTACCTGTTTGCGCAGAGTCCCGTGATTGCACCGAGTGTGAACATGATAACTCTATACGGGAGACAAAAATCAGTCCACAGCATAAACGCTCTTACCACAACACCAATCAGCAAGGTGGTAAATATAAAAAAGAAGGATAATGATGTAGGGTACGCCATGCTCGGACGAGAGGGATCGTCGAATTTTATATCTTCGTTATTGTTGGTAGGATCACGTATCTTAGTAAAATTGGTTCCATTTGTACACATAACTTGTGTAAAACATTCTACGAAATATAATATCGCTAAGAAAACCGTCATTGTGGAAGACAATGACTTAATAAAAAGCATAGCCCTCTAGAATATTATTTGACTTTTTAATATATTGTAAAAACTTAAAATTATGATAGGTTCTTGGGTATATTAATATTAAGCCGACTTAATAAAAGAAGGTTCTCTATTAGTGTGCTTTTATTGAATGTATGTTACGCGATATCTTCATCAAAATGTGAACAGATTTTAATGATTCATGTTTTATTAAATAGATTACACTTCAGAGGCGGTACCATATAAATTAAGAGAAAAAAATATCACCACTATCCTTAGTGGCAAAATAGGGGATGAAATTTTTAACTAAACTATACATGGTGTTAGTGTAAACACCGCTATCCTTGAAACCAGTGGTTTGGTTTCACTTATAGAACGTAAATTCAATGAATTAAAAAAAACGCTATTTTCTTTCATAAAATTTAAAAAGTTCTGTCCGACACCGTCCGTAAATTCATGGATACCCTATGCGCCCGAGTGACGTAATCACTGTAAAGATCACCGCCCGCGCTAGCTACCTACACAACATTCGATAAAAACACAATAGGTACACATAACCTGTGATGTAACTTTCTTATAATACTTTCATTAAAAAAATTGAGATTTTACTAAAAAAATGTCGTTATTTTTCATTGAATTTACATTCTATAAGTGAAACCAAACCACTGGTTTCAAGGATAACGGTGTTTACACTAACACCCTGTATACACGACATTGAGATAGTAATATTACTTAGTTCACTCAAAGAGTAAAAAAGTAACTTGTAAAAAGCCTTGGCACCGACTTTAGAATGTGAAATTATTTCATTCTATTTAGTTCTCTGAAGTCGGCTTATATTTCGTTTTTTTTTTCATGATTTTTTTTATGATAACCAATAACATGAACATGAAAAAATACATTCTGAGATCCAGTTTTTTTAATGCGTAAGTTTACCTTATTTGAAACATATCACATATCTTTCACATATTATAATACGTAACAGGTCCGTGCAACACGAAATGAAATACAATAAATAAAAAACAAACACAATTTTATTTTGGTAATGTTAAAAAGCTCTATTTGCTATTTATATTCCCCACCCATGTGTAAGCCATTTATTAGTTTTCTCGAAATGACGAATTAATAAGAAAATAGTTTAAAACAAGACTTCATTACAGGGGCAATTTTTTTTAATTATGAATTGTAAATTACTATTATAAATCTTTTGGGAAAAGCAACCTGACGCCATTGACCTTATTGGGAGTCTTACAAGGAGAATTCTTTTGTGGAGTTTTCCTAGGAGATCTTCTTGGAGTCATGTTTTGATTTTTTTCAGATTGTTGTAATTCCTTTAACTCCTTGTATGCTTCCTCAAGCATGCGTCGTTTCCAGTCTTCATATGGTTCTATTTGGGGCTCTGTTGATACTTCGTTATTACAAGCATCAGTATCCATTTTCTCACTATCATCTGTAATTGATTAAGTGTTGTTATATAAAACTACGTGATAGCCGCTCGCTGCGCTGGGCGCACGATAATATTTTATTGCGGGACCTAGATGTAATTTTTTTAATGGGACTATCGTAAAATCCGTTCTTAAGGGGAAATATAACCTCAAATGGCTTAGCAAGATCCTCCGTTATGCCGAAAGTATTGCAGCATTAATTTTGAAATAAATATATGGTAAAGTTGAGGATTAATGTTAAGGTTTATGTTAGACGAAAACACGATTCCGTAAAATTTTCTCGATAGAAAAAAAATCCAAAGTTACCTCCAAACTGAACAATAAACCGCTGTTATTCATAAAATACTTTAAATAAGATCATGAAACTTTGCATACTAACTGAACTAACCATAAAGCAGTGCTTATGTTATTTACTTTTTTTTAAAATATCATTATTTTCACTGTAAAAAAGAAATTACCTAAACTATCGGCGCGTAAGCTTGGTTCCTGCGGAGCGACAGGAACCAAGCTTACGCTAACCAAGCTAATAACATAAGCACTGCTTTATGGTTAGTTCAGTTAGTATGCAAAGTTTCATGATCTTATTTAAAGTATTTTATGAATAACAGCGGTTTATTGTTCAGTTTGGAGGTAACTTTGGATTTTTTTTTCGTTTTTGAATATTAATTTTTGGTAGGATTTACGTCCGATTTAAAAAAAAAAATTTATATTCAAAAACTGAAGGTAGCCGGACTAACTATGACATTGGGACGTCAAACATCTCAGTCCCCCCCCGTGACCATGGTTGCTGTAAAGCACCCGAAACGTCGGGAATTAAAAATAAGTAAAAGTAGTGAAATAAACGCGATAAAATCCGTAAATTTAGTTTTATTCAATGTGTAGTGTTCGCGTAAATTTAAGAAATCATTATATTTATCAATTTTTCGATTTCTCAAAAAAATCTCGTATAAAATATAGCCGAGATTACTCCTCATATTGCTCTTTACCTGTTCTTATCGGAGGCGAGGCCGGCTCTGCTCTATCTGACCGAGACGCAGGTGTCCTCTCCGGCTGATGTCTCGTATCTCTCCTACCCGGGGTACAAACTGGAACACACTGGAACAGCGACGACCATCCGCGCGTCTACGGGTATCCTCCTCGGGTGCCTCTATAGGTCCCACAGCGGTAATGCCGAAACAGACAGATTCTTCGACCACGTCCAAATCGCTACAGATTCGTTGTTACAGTAGATCTCCTCCGCAGAGATCGTAATCCTCGGCGACTTTAACGTCACGTAACATCACGCCGAATGGCTTGGTTCACGTTTGCGGGGAGATCTGTTCATGATTTTGCCTTGGCATATGGTCTGACACAACTGGTTACTTCGCGTACGCGGATTCCAGATGTGGTACTTCAGGGTATGGAACTTTTTATTCCTTCCTCTGTGATGCTCATCGGAAGCAAATCTCAGCCATGGTTTGGTCGCTCCTGAAAAATAGCATCACGCTATAAGCAGGAGTGCTACCAAGCCTGAGCTGACGCATCTACGTCCCGGGATGTAAACACCATCGCTCTAAAAATGAAGTATAATTCCGCCTCCAGGTCCTTCAAAGGAGTCATTGCCAAGGCAAAGTCTGAGCACATAGGCAGAAATGGCGAGAAACTAGTTCGCCTTCCTTCTGAAACCTGTGCATTCTGGTCTCTCGCCAAGGCTGTCCAGGGGAATTTCTGTCAGCCATCTCTTCCATCTCTGCACAGGGAGGACGACTCAATGGCCCATACCGCAAAGGAGAAAGCCGATCTGCTAGGCTCTTTCTTTGCGTCCAACTCGACTCTCGATGACGGGAGGAGTACGCCGCCGAACATCACGCGGTGTGAGTGCTCCATACCGAAAGTGCAGTTCACACAGCGCTCGGTTCGCAAAGCACTCCTCTCCCTGGACATCCACAAGTCGAGTGGGCCTGACGGAATCCCCCCAATTGTGCTGAGGACGTGTGCTCCAGAGTTGTCACCGGTTTTAACGCGTCTTTTCCGGTACTCCTACTCCCTAGGCGTAGTTCCAAAATCATGGAAGACGACTTTCATTCACCCGATCCCTAAAAAAGGCGACCGCTCAGACCCATTCAATTACCGGCCTATCGCCATCACCTAATTGTTCTCCAAAACAGTGGAGTCCATTCTAAACTGCCAACTCATGAGGTACCTTGAGGATCACCAGCTGATCAGTGATCGCCAATACGGTTTTCGCCGTGGTCGGTCAGCTGGTGATCTTCTGGTCTACCTAACTCACAGATGGGCGGAGGCAGTAGAGTCCAAGGGGGAGGCATTGGCCGTTAGTTTGGACATTGCGAAGGCCTTCGATCGGGTTTGGCACAAAGCGCTTCTTTCGAAGCTCCCTTCCTATGGGCTTCCCAATTGGATCACGAGCTTTCTTGCTGATCGGAGCATCAAGGTCGTTGTAGATGGTGCAAGCTCCGATTACAAGCCTATTAATGCTGGTGTTCCACAAGGCTGCGTGCTATCGCCAACGCTGTTTCTTCTGCATATCAATGACATGTTACAAACGCGTAACATTCATTGCTATGCAGATAACAGTACTGGTGATGCTCTGTACACCGACTGTGTCAATATTTCTCGGGAAAACGTCTCCGAGTACCGGGACAAACTTGTGTCTGAAGTTGAGTCTTTGCTGAACAGAGTCTCGGATTGGGGGGCGACTAAATCTAGTCCAGCTTAACCCTCAGTAGACACAAATTTGCGCGTTAACCGCTAAAAAGAACCACTTTGTCGTATCTCCTCAGTTTCAAGGCACTCCCCTTGTTGCCTCAGCCAGTATCGGAATCCTCGGCGTTGACATATCGAATGACGTGCAGTTTCGTGGTCACTTGCAAGAGTAGGCCAAATTGGTCTCTAAAAAGCTTGGCGTGCTCAGCAGAGCGGGACAGTATTTCATGCCGGCACACCGCCTGCAACTTTACAAGGTGCAGGTTCGGCCACACATGGAATACTGTTCCCATCTCTGGGCTGGATCGTCCCAGTACCAGCTCCTTCCACTTCACCGCATCCAGCTCAGAGCGGCTCGTATCATCGACGACCGAGTGCTTTTCGATCGGCTCGATTCACTGGCGCTGCGAAGAGATGTTGCATCTCTTTGCATTTCCTTCCGCATATACCACGGGGAGTGCTCTGAGGAATTGTTCGGATTAATTCCAGCCGCCAAATTTCGTGAACGTACTACGCGGCAAACGTCCCGATACCATCCACACCATCTGGATGCTTGGCGGTCCACCAATGTATGTTTCACAAGAAGTTTTCTTCCGCGCACGACCTCTCTGTGGAATAGTTTGCCACCGGCGATTTTTCCGGACCGATACGACCTGGGGACCTTCAAGAAAAGAGCGTACTCCTTTCTAAAGGGCCGGCAACGCACCTGCAATTCCCCTGGTGTTGCGGTTGATCATGGGCGGCGGTAGTCACTTAACATCAGGTGAGCCGCATGCTCGTTTGCCCCCTCTTCTATAAAAAAAATGTCCAATGTTGATTGAATTCGCATGACCTTGGAGTAAATACTTATGTATCAACACTGGCAACACATACCATTACCATTTTCTACATTATCTTTGACGCGCCGTCCCCTTTTCTTTTTAACAGAAGAAAAATTGTCATCCACAAATTTAGACCAATCGGTGTCTAATTTTGCCCACTGTGTTGGTTTCAAGCGGGACTTTTCTATCATTTTACTTTTTGATATTTTCACCTTGTTGATTCTGAAATCAAAATAAATCATTGACACCTTGTATTATAGTTTGTATTGTATTGTATTCAGTTCGTAAATTTATGTTTATACCTGCAAGCTTGATATACAGCCATACAGACATACTGTGGCAGACTTAAATCCACTTCCTAGAAAACATTTAAAAACAACAAATTAATGTCATATTAAAAATAAATATTTCTTTAAATAAGAAACTAATATCTGCATCCTAACTAGTATGTGCATGTACCTGCAGCAGCAATGTACCCCTAAATTGAGTAACATCCAGGAAGTAGATGGATGCAGGTGGCTCAAAACCATACTTTGTGGCATTCCTTGACGGAGGCCTATGTTAAGCAGTTGACATATAAAGAGCTATAATGATAATAATGATGATGATGAACTAGTATCGCGAAGCATTGATAATCGCGACGCAGACTAATCCAGTGATCTCAGTAGTCTAAACAGTGCCGAAATACTACATTTTTTTTTAGTTTAGGTTTAAAGGTGAACTAAAACGGGCTTTAAGTTATCAGAAATCTAGTAAGGAATTTCTAAAAATATATAACTAACAATTAGACTTTACACTGATACTTATGGATATTGAGTAGTGTGTTTTTGATGTGTATTTTAATAGACCACGATGGTTTGAAATAAATTTTTCATTTTGATATGTCACTAAGCATTTTTCTTTTACACAGTATAATTCCGACATCAAGTCATCATAGTGACGGACTCTAGACCTACCACTTGCTTAAATGAGTCTGAAGTAACCAGGTTTTACTGTATAGTTTAACCAGAATGTGTGTATTAGTGTGTTGCCAATAATGACATATTTTCTAGGTGATGTCTGCTACTAGGGTCCTAGTTTAAAATGTAATGAAAATAAAACCATAATAATTACAGGATAATGGAATAATTGTTACCATTACAGACCATCAAAGTCCACTGGTTCACATCGGCCTCGCCTATAGGCCACCAGCTTTGACACGCTTGGCTGGTAGGTTGGAAACCACATTTTTTTAGTTCTTCTTAGGAATATGCGGCTACTCATCTAGTTTCATTACCTCTGTCACCACTTACACTTACTTACTTATTCCTTCCAGAGGATATGCATTAGTGGATATTTTTACATGGACACCAAATATTCATGGTTAATGTGGTGTTCAATGTTAAACTTTTTCTTACGTGGTAGAGCCACACTACAGCAATATTAGTAGTACAGTTGTAGCACGAAGGGGTCGACTTAACCTGGGGAGGACCACACTCTCACAGAATACCAGCATAAAATAACAGCTTAACCTTGCTGTAGTTCGCATGGTGAGTGTAGATGACCCGAGACCCTTTTTACTGGAAATGAGGCATTCCATCTAAGTCTTCTCGGGTGACGATTTTGCATTTTGATTCGTAATTAAGGAAAGATGTAGATGTCTATGGGCCACAGCAACCACTAACCATCAAGTGGACTGTGTGCTCATTTGTTACCACCTACGTGCAAAAAAAAGAACAGAAAATTTATTTTTATAAAAACTGCAAGAGTGACAACATACATGATGCCTACTAGAGTTGCAATTGGCTACAGATCTTCATGGACCGCAGTAGCCACTTAGCATGAGGGAAACGTAGTCCAACTGTTAATAAGTGGCTACTGTAGTCCCGAGTTCATAGACACCTTAAACCAAGTCAAACAAATAAGGCTACAGGTGCATTGTCAATTCTGAGTTCTAAGTTGGAATGCTTCACATCCTTTTATTATACTGACTTTCTTTACGCTTCTAACCAGGCACAGCAGTGCACTCATTGCTCACTGGGGACAAAAACAGGCAAGAGGATGGTACCCACTAACAGCGACTCCTAGGGAAAAAGGAACCCCATCTAGTAAGGTTAGTAGGACTTACTAGGACTTAAATTTTTTTTAAAAAAATGTCTATAATATAAATGTGGTAGCATTTATCTGGTAGATTTGCTTACAGTACCATACATACACCTTTCACACTGCTTATTGCCAGTAAGAGTATTTACATCATTATATTAGTATCAGTTCAGTATTCTTTTAATCAACTCTTGGCCCACACATATGACAAAATGCGATGATGGCTATTTTTGTTTGTTTTAAAAAGGAGTAGGTACTAGCAATTATATTAACATTACTAACAGCATTGACCACTCCAAGTAAGTTTCATAGGTTTATGTTAGCAGTCATTCTCAACCTTTATGAGTTTGCAGTCCTTATCTTTAACCATTAGGCTATTGATACTTAAATTGTTGTATTAAGTTGGTTTCTCATATACTACCACCATTGGAGTTAACAAGCTATGCATTAAAAATTAGCAATAAAAAGTTGTGTTTGTTGAGTAAGATGTTAAACAGAAATAGTAAGACTATCTTATTATTTGTACCATTTTAGATTTTTTCTTAAACTCTTCTAGAATCTCCTCAGCTAAGACTTGTACTTTGCTGCATTGCAGTGTTAGACATAAGGCTGATATTGTTAACTTATTACTACTTATTTCTAGCAAATTCTCAACAATTTTCCTTGAATTTATATAGGTAGGTTGTTTTAAACCAGAATATTTGATTGCTGTTTTCTGAAAGAAATAAGTACCATTAAAGATATGACTATGAAAAATATTAATAAAAATATAATAAATAATCTTATATAGCTAATACGCAAATAGCATACCAAATCTAAATCTACACCACATATATTTGTTGCTAAGTCAAGACATATTACAATTTTACTTGTGTCAGTCATATTGTTTCCTGCGATGGTTTTAGTTTGGAGAAGACGTTCCAACTCAGCTGCTTTACTGTAATGATGTAAAAATATATACTAAATAATTTAAATAATTTCGAAACAAAAGTTATCACCGTTGTTTTCAAAATAATGTAAGTGCCAATCATACGGCATATTCTACAAAATTCCATTTAATGAAGCGATTTTTGGTATATAAATCATTTTAATGTAATTAAGACATTATAACACGTAATATTAAAAGATAAATAAGAACACAAATATGTACAAAATTCAGCTATGCAGAATTAAAAATAACTCATTCGTACCCCAAAACTTTTTCCTCATCTTCAAGTCCTAATTTAGAAGCTAATAATAGGAGTGTTTTATTGTAAGTTGTCATTGATAAATCTAACAATAACGATATTTGGATAAATATATTATTTTTTATAAATAATTTCAGAATTCCGCGCCACAATTCCTTATTTTTGACACTTCACAGCTAAAGTTGTTCAAAACGACACTATAAATCAATAGCACACTACAGACTATAAACTATAAATTTTTAGCGCACTATTAAATACGCTATGTTATAGAGCGCTATTTGTAAGAAAACGTGTAGGAGGCCGAAAAGTGCGTTAAGTTTAGCAACACGCTATATCTCGTAGCACGTTACATTACATGTCGTTCATTGGATAGACCGCGTGCTATATAAGAACATTATTTCGTAATAAGTCGCATTTTAGACTAAAATAAAATAAAGCGGTAAAGAAAAACCAATGAATGCTTTTTCATACAATTCAGGCTGACTACTTTTTATAATCCTTAAAATATTTTAAGGTATGTACTTTTTAAAGCGAAATAAAGTTAATTATTTTTATTATAATTGATGTAAACGTTATTTTAACCTTAATATAAATTATAAAGCCAATAAAGATGTATTTAAAAGTTTATTGATTGTATTTATTAAAATCAACTATTTACATACACTATTATATACACCTTTGTATCTATATTTTATTTCCATTTCAAACATTAGTTAGACTTCTTTTATAGCAGACAACTGTATCCTTCGATCACATATAAATATACAGTATACACTAACTAAACAACGTCTAACACTAAATTAGGTCGCACGTGATTACAAGCGTGCTACTAGATCAAATTTGCGTCATACGTCTTCTCCCAACAGTGCTGCTACTAGAAGTAGTTGCCGCTAGCTAGATATTAATACTTAATAGCGCCAAAGCGCCATAGTGCAATAGCACCATGGCGACTACCTACATAGTACGCGCTACGTGTTATGGAGAGTTAGCGCGCTATAATATGGCGCTATGCGCTATATTAACCACCATTATTCACAGCCGTTGATATAATTTTAATTAACTGGCTTTACGGCTCTGGGATCTAGCTCTTCTGAGCCTATCATTTCTTTCAGGGTCTTTATTTTTATAGATTTTTTCTTCACAATATGCTGATGCGCCATATAGTGAAGTTTTTGGGAGATTTTGACGACAGCTTAACCCAGCGGATAGTTGATGAAGATTGTCACTCAATTCATAAAGCGCCTAAGCTATCAAAACGACTTGAGGTTTATATAAACATCGAAGCACTTGTTTCGTCGTTTTCTCTAATATTTTACACGCGCAGACACTTAATTCACAATATCGCATCACATGTACGAATCAAAATCCACTTCAAACCATTATTTAAACGATAAAACAGGAGCAACAATCCGACAACGGCCAAGTTCCCGCTAAAACTCCTGCCGTTTATTTTTAACCAGAAATTACTAAGAGCATAGAGTAGAATAATATACTCTAGCCAGCTAAGAGGAAAAGCTTTTCTACACACCAAAAGATTATGGAGTGTAGAATACAGTAAGGAGTACAGACTGTGTATTAAAAAGTGTCCATAGAAAAACGTTAAATAAGGGTTGTGCCACTATAACTACGGGGTATACTTTAAAGAACGCACCGAAAAATATTAGTGAGATAGACGACTTTTTCGAGGTTATATTTACTAAATAAAATTATTTTAGATTTTAGAGCTACTGAGCAGTTTAAGCACACCTAAACCGTCGACAACTGCTAAGTTGATTTCATCCCAGTAGCTACTCCAGCGCTGTTGTGGAGAGTTTTTGAGCTGTTGGTTGCTGCTCACAGATGGCCAATTTTACTATACTTCTACTATGGGAGTTGGTACTCCTTGCTTCTACACTCCATACAAAAGATATTATAATATACTACGTAATTGTTTTTTATTAACTGGCTTTATGGCTCTGGTTTCTAGACCTTCTCAGCCTATCCTTTCTTTTGGAATCTTCATTTTATATTCTTTTTCTTTACAATATGTTGATGCGTCACATTGCGAAGCCCTTGGGAGATTTTGACGACAGCTCAACCTAGTGGACAGTTGATGACGACAGCCACTCAAGTTCATAAGGCGCCCAAGCGATCAAAATAACTTGAGGTTTATATCGACATCAAAGCACTTGTTTCGTCGTTTTCTCTAATAGTTCACACGCGCGGACACTTAATTCACAAAATCGCATCACTTTTACGAATCAAAAACCACTTCAAACTATTATTCAAGCGATAAAACAGGAGTAACAATCCGTCTACGGCCAAGTTCCCACCAAAACTCTATACTGTGTAAACTACGTTAGTACTCTTATTAGTTTGTGGTATAAACACACCACAAACCATGTGGGTAAGAGAACAGGAGAACGATCGCTGTAGAAAAGTGTCCCAAAAATATAGACAAAATAAGTGATTCGCTGCGATCTCTAAGTTGTCTCAATAAAAGCGGACTGCTGTGCGCTAGTTTTATTTTTTTCATAGAAGAGGCAAACGAGCATACGGTTCACCTGATGTTAAGTGACTACCGCAGGCAATGAACAACCGCGACACCAGGGGAATTGCAGGTGCGTTGCCGGCCCTTTAGAAAGGAGTAAGCTCTTAAGTTTGAAATGATTATAAAATCATTGAAAGAAAAAAGAAAATAACGAAATTATTACTTATTATCATTATTATTTTTTGATAAATAATTATAATTTTTTTATAATTTTAATTATTATAAATATTGTAAATTATTACAAATATGAATAATTATTAATTTATTATATTATTTCACTATTTTATCTTCCCTTTTGTCAATAATTACATTTTGCACTTAATATCACATTAAATTCATTTTTATCGATGATGCAATTATATTCAAACAGGGTGCATTTTTTTTAATATTGCAAAATTCTAATTATTTCAAGTTAAGTTAAAAACACGGATGTGCACTACACGTAATTGTTCTTTTCGTAAGTAATGTCTAAATCAAAATTAATTCATCTGTAAGCTATTACAATGACTATTATTACATTTAAATATTTCAGCTTTGATGTTATATATTTTCTCACCAAACTCGGATTAAATAGTCAACATAAAAGTTTTAAAATTTACGCGTATTGTGTAGACGAGATAAAGATAAAAGATATCATTTATGCAGTTTCGTTTTTTCTCTCTCGCTGAGTGATAAATTTGAGTTTTGAATGAATTTGAGTAATGAATTGACGACGTCGACGCATAGCGTGGCAGCCCACCATGCCACGCTATGCATCGACGTCGTCAATTCGACCATTATTTATTAATTTACTCTTTTACGACGTCGACGTCGACGCCGAGGATTCCGATACTGGCTGAGGCAACAAGGGGAGTGCCTTGAAACTGAAGTGATACGACGAAGGGGTTCTTTTTAGCGGTAAACGCGCAAACTTGTGCCGTTTGGGGATTGAACTGAAATAGATTTAGTCGCCCCTAGTCCGAGACTTTGACCAACAAAGTCTCGACTTCAGACACAAGTTTGTCTCGGTATTCGGCGATGTTTTCCCGAGAAATATTGGCACGACTGGTGTATAAACCATCACAAGTATTGTCATCCGCGTAGCAATGAATGTAAACGGATTGCAACGCTGTTTTTTTGCATATCATTGATATGCAGAAGAAATAGCGTTGGTGATAGCACGCAGTTTTGTGGAACACCAGCGTTAATGGGCTTGTAATTTTAGCAGGCAACATCTACTACGACCTTGATGCTCGAAAACTGATATGATCCGCAAGAAAACTGATGATCCAATCGCACAATTTTTCGCGACGCCCACAGGAACGTAGCTTCATTAGAAGCGTTTTGTGACAAACCTGATCGAAGGCCTTGGCTACGTCCTAACTTACGACCTACGCCCTTGGACTCTACTGCCTATCACCAGCCAAGCAACCCCGACGGAAACCGTAATGGCGGTCACTAATCAGCTGGTGATCCTCACGGTACCGCATCAGTTGGCTGTTAATAATGAACTCCATTATTTTATAGGATAGGGAACTGTTGGCGATAGGCAAATAGTTGGACGGATCAGAGTGGTTACCCTTTTTTAGGGATCGGGTGCAATAAAGCTGTCTTCTATGATTTCGGGACTACGCCTAAGGAGTAGGAGTACCAGTAAAGACGCGTTGAAACCGGCGCCAACTCCGGAGCACGAGTCTTCAGCACAATAGGAGGGACGCCAACAGGCCTACTCGACTTGTTGACGTCCAGGGAGAAGAGTGCATTCCACACAGAGCATTGGGTAAACATCCAGTATGGAGCACTCACACCACGGGATGGACGGCGGTGTGTTCCACCCGTCATCAAGAATCGAGTTAGACGCAAAGAGAGAGCCCAGCATATCGGCTTTGTTTTTTGCGGCATGGGCCAGTGAGTCGTCCTCTCTGTGCGGAGATGGCAGACAGAAATTTCCTTGGACAGCCTTGGTGAGAAACCAGAATGCTGGTGTTCCTGAAGTACGGAACGGTTCTGCGCCAATTCTGCCGTTCGGTCTTTGCCTTGGCAATGACACTTGAAGGACCTGGAGGCGGAATTATGCTTCTTTTTAAGAGCGCTGGTATTTGCATCCTGAGACGTCAATGCGTCAGCACAGGCTTGGTAGAACTCCTGAGTATGGCGTAATTCAATTTTGCAGGAGCGACTAAACCATGGCTGGGTTCTGCCTCCGATAGGCACCATAAATGATAGAATAAAAAGTTCCATTCCCTGGGATCATCCGGCGAGAAGCAAACTCTCCTCTCGGCTGACATATAATGCCAAACACGGCGCCGTGGCATCCTGCAGAACGCAACCGCGATGGGAGCCTGAGCCAAGAGTGTTGTATCAATTTCGATATATTTTAAAATGTGGTATTAATCGATAAAACATAAAGCAATATATATAGCTATAAAAGCATTCATGTGCTGTTGTCGTTTTTTTCGTCTAACCTTCCATTAATACAATAAGCGAAGCGTTGAGGGTGTGCTCTACTCTCACCTAATGGAAGTCCAGTAATTTCCTGAGCTAAAAATGTCTTCAATATTTGTTCCT